GGACTTAAAGCCTCTTTGACCAGCAGCGTTTCTATCTGAGCGTTTTTGCTATTCTTTCAGATCTTGTCTTTATGTCCACATCTCTTAATGTCCTTTCAGGCAGTAAAAAGGTACAAAGCTTTTATATCTTTTTATAGCCTGCTCTTGCTTCATTGGGCATCAATTTGCTTCGTTTTTAGATCCAAACGCGGTTGCTACGAGAAGTCTGACATGGTTCAGTGTTTTCACAAGCTTAAAAGAGCCTTCATTAGCAGTCCACAATTATCACAAACTGGAAATATCTGAGCACAATGCTTCAACTTCTTCCCTGCTGGACCTGATTAATGAGAGTCAAAGGTGATTAAAGATCATTGATTGCGTTTGAGGGAAGGAATCTGAAACACAAACGACACCAGCCTTGGTTTTAAAGTAAAAACCGAGCTGCAAAAGTCAATTTTGGCACTAATATCAATACTACTACTTGTGGATGTGCAATAAAATTCATATCATATTGTGATGGGTGGCGGTAACAATATATATGATTTATATAAAACTTACAATAGAAATGAAAAAAAATCACATACTAATTGAGTGGAATGTATCTATTTGTATGCGTTAAACAGTCGTTTTTGTGGATGTTTGTACGAATGTTTAACTTTTTATGTTGCTGCCTATTATTGGCAATGATGGGCAGCAGCTGAATCTCAATGGTGGCCACCAGGTTAAATCAAACTTAAATAAATAAATGAAAAATAAATCTCTATATAGAAGCACAAATCAAGTTTTTTGTTCCCAGTGTTGTGACTGGAACTTGTAAGTTAACTGCATTGCTGGTATTCAGCTAAATACAAGCTTCGCTTTAAGGGCGTAAGACACGCACTTTGCAGATTACATTTTACAGTTTAACCCTCCTGTGGTCCTCAGAGACGGGGTCATTTAGATCGGACTCTGCACGGTCCGGCGGGTTTGCACTGAGCCCATGTGAGACTTTACGAGGATTTCTTTTTGTGGTTTCGGAAAGACTATCAGACCATCACCCCACCCCGACCGTGATATCTGCTGCGCACCTCCTGAGCGTCGCGCTAAGACCGCTGGAGGGTTAAGAAACGGGGTTTACCTTGTGCGCGACCCAGCAGGGCTCGCACCGATCCTGCGTGTGCTTTTACCTCTCAGTTTACCTCTGGCTGACCGTGACATCTGCTGCGCTCCTCCTGAGCATCGTTGTGAAACTGCGGGAGGTTAAACCCAAACCAGATGCAGATAATTGATCTGCCTTTTTCACAAGCTCTTCCGATTACGTCATCCACAGGCATTATTGCGGCTAGCCGGTAGACTACAGGTCTCTGTCGTAGGTCAAATTTCTATCATTTCTACCGTATATATCGCGCATTCCTACTACTACTATTAAAAACTACTTCATGACCCAAATGAATTACAATTTCATTTGGTAAAATATAATTATCTACTTCTAAATACACAACCATCTTTTAGAAAAATAAAGTACTGGAGTATAATTCTCATATTATTGGCTGAACCACTGTGACCGTCAGGTGTAGAGACTAATGAGAAGCTGTTCCAGTTTTATCTCTTCATTCATTATGATCCTTCAACAGCCACATTTGGTTCATGCAAAATGAAGATCTGTGCAGGTACTATTATGTATTTGAACTGTGTACTGTTCAAACTATTTCCACAAAAGTCCTGGAAGGGTCACCGTCTCTATTTAGCAAGCAAACATGAAAACAGAAGCAGAAATAAATCAGCGGCACTCCATAAAAATCCTCATTTTCAAAAACTGCTTCCAGCATTTGGTCCGTCTGAAGCAGAATTTTAATCAGAGCCCAGCAACGCTTCAATTCAAGCCTGCTCTCAAGAACACAGCTCTAAGCCTTCAGATATGTTTAAACAAAGTGCATTATTTATAAAAGGCCGCTCTGAAGCAAAAAGAGGGTTAAGAACTTAGCAGAGACAACAATCCACTGCAGCACCAATCCAGTTTATCTCCCAACATAAAGCACAGTCACAAATCCTAGCGGATGAAGTCCTTCAGTGATAAATGTGTCAAGATACTTTCTGAAATGCTTTCCAAAATAATTGCCGTTTCCAATATTAGCTTCTCGGCTGGATTCTTGTCTGTAATACTTGCTTTGAATCAGAACTGTTTCTCTCCAGGTAGTAATGATGAGGAACACAGGAAATTAAAACTGATACAACAAAGTGTGTGTGTGAGGTGCAACTCAAATGCCAGGATCATTGTGATATTTCTGCCTCCTCATTATCCGGTGTGAGGAAACACTTTGCTTGTTTGGATGAGCTCTGAAAATAAGGTACTGACCAAATCTTCTTAGAGAAAAATACTTGAGGAAATGTATTTCTGTAGACACTTCTGGCATCGTTACATCTGTAGACAAGATATTTTTTGTTCCCGTTAAATCTGCAGCCTGTTACTTTTATAAAAAAATGTGTTTCTTACATATTTCTTTAAACTATTACAATGTCGTGACAATATGAGACAGATAATCTGAAAAAATAATCAAGTTTCTCTGCCTTCTCCCTAAGGTCCTGCCGTCATCTGAAGAAACACGCGGCTCTTACAGAAACAGCTATTCAGAGCTGCAGTGAATAACCTTTACAAAATATGTTTTTTACATATTTGTTAAAACTGTCACCATGTGGTGACAGTGTAATATGAGACAAATAATCTGAAAACATTATAAAAAGGAGGTGAAATGCTCGACCTCGTCCCAGTGTTAATATTACCATTTGAAGAAACGTACTGCTACCAATCAAAAGCAACCAATCAGACCCAGGAGGAGGGTCTTAGCGTTGCCAATCATCTCATGTATACACTTCTCACGCCCTCCCTCCTTCTCCTTCCACACATGAATGCTAAGACAATTTCTTCAAGATGTTTCCCACCATTTGCTCATTTAGCAGCAAGTACATGAGAATGATTGACAGCGCTAAGACCATCCTCCTGGTTCTGATTTGTTGTTTTAGACCAAGAACAGTGGGTTCCTTCAGACAGTAACAGTAGCAATGGTCTTTTCACAGATTATCTCTCATGTTGAACTGTCACGACATGGTGACACTTTGAACAAATATAAAAAATATATAGTTTTGTAAAAGTTACATGCTGCAGCTTTAAATGGCTTCATATTCAGTATATTCTCTAGAAACTATAATTCTGACCAGGTGCATTATAATCTAAGACAGTTTTGAATAAAATGGCTGAATTTCCTAAGCCAATGTAGCAGCATGTCGTTCAGCTCTGGACAGGCCTGGTAAAGAGCCAGTCGTTTGATTTAAGTCCACTGGAGAAGGGATGCATCTAAAAGTTGCAAGATAGAGGACTGGACTTAAGGAACTCTGATCTAATAATCACCCCAAGGTGTTTTAAGGTTCCTTAAATACAGCATATTAGTCCTGCTAATCCAGGGTCGAAGTATTAATACTTGCATTTAATCCTGATACCCTTAAAGGCTGATTTGAGTTTATCCATGTGACCCCAAAGTTGTTAAATATTTCTACTAGAAAATAGTCACAAATGTAGCTTAACAGAGGTTTTATGCTCTGAAAGCCGTCGTGACAATGAACACACAAGCTAACATGCTCAGCCTGCATCTCATAAGCCGACTGCATCACCTCCAGAAATATCAACATCATGCATAATAAATGCGACAAAAGCTGTTTTATTTTTCTGTTTCATTCAAATACCATAAATCTGCATTGTAAATGTGAGCTACGATAAACGATAAGGTGTAGTATGATACTCTCTGCGGTTTGTATTGTATGACAACACAATGTGATATGGTATAGTAGTACAACATGATACATTATGTAAGCCTGAGACAAAATATTTTTTGGACGATAAATTGTCCCAAAAGTTATTGCAATAAACGATAATAATGTTGAGACCATTTTCAGGTCATAATAATGCAAGAACACATTCTCAAAGATCAATAAACTTTAAGTTCAAAGTGTTAACTCTAACATTTAACACTGGAACTGGAGGACAATTTAAATATCCAAAATAAATAAACAAAACAACAAATAAAATTGTCTTTGAAAAAGGGAAATGTTGAAACCAAAGAACCAGACTGGAGACTTTTGTCATCCAGTTCTTGGTAGAAAAACAGAGAAGAGATTTATCATGGAAATGGAAATTATTGAGCTCATTTCCATTTACCATGCAATTAATTGATTTATTGATTATATTATGACAGGCCCAACTTTACGTATATTACAATGCAGTATAAGACGCTACATGATGGTACAATATCATAAAATGAGCTGTATTGTTCTCTTGTAAAATCTAGTTTTGATTCAGTGGTTTCCCAGTGGCTGCAATCACAAAGCAGCAAAAATATGTCATAATAGCAAACTTAAACACTTCATACACAATAAAAGGGATAAAAAGGAATAACTTTAGGCTGACAGCACGAGAAGCCCAGAAGATCCTGCACAACCATTAGAAAAACTAAATGAAAACATACCATGTGGAATATCAAACATGGATCTGAAAGTACGGAACAGAAACACAATCATTTAACCCCCTCTCTTCATAAATTATTTGGTATTTTAAAAACACTGCATCAGATAAGTGTTCTTCCAATTTTTCTGTGCTTTCATTTCAGATAAATCTCAGGCTGGCTGAGTTAGCGTCACAAACGTAGCTCAGCTCCTGACAGCAAACAGAAATGCTCTGAATACACCAAGATGCTCAACCTGCCTCTCATGAACTTACTGCCAACATCATCAATAGCAATCATTCAAAACTTAAGATGATCCTCTCCCTAATCACGCAACCACAACTGCTTCTGTTTTCCTCATCCTATTGTAAACCGGTTCTGTGACACGTTTACAAATGCTTGTTGCACAATATCAGGATCACTCTAAAACAAAAAACTGCAACAACAAGCCAAAAAGAAAAGAGAAACTGGATCAACAAAAGGTGGAGAGCAGATACTGACACATGATACATGCAGCTTTTATCAGGAGGTGCGTTTCCTGTCACTTACTGGCTTGCATGAGCTGCCCCTGGCGTCCAAACACCTGGGAGAAGGTGGCATGGCTGCAGGTGAGGGTGTCCTCCATGGCAGTCCCACTTGCTGAGGAGCCAGAAATAGAGAGCGGAGAGATAAGGGAAGGTCGGGCAGACTGCGTCACTCCAAGATCGGTGAAAGGAGGGAAAGTGGAGAGCAGAGAACAAAAGAGGAAGAGAGAGAAGGTTGATGCTTGCCTTGAGCTGCTGTGTGATGTCTGGTGACAACCGCACTCCTGTGGAGCTGTCCTGCTGCTGCGGATGGGGAGTGAAATACAGCTCCTCACTGCACACACCAGTACGAATAGAGCTGCTCGCCTGCACTGATAGGTGGTGGTGTGTGTGTGTGTGTGTGTGTGTGTGTGCTGGGCTGGATCCTCGTCAGCATGTAAGTGAGCGTGCAGGAGAGAAAGTTCTCTACGAGAGCATCTCAGAGGACAGGTAGCAGAACTAGAGGCGAACTCTGATTGTGTTCACCTTCATCCATACAGATCGACAATCCTCCATGGTCCGGTCAGGCGGCGTTGGACGGAAAGAAACAGCAGCTTCTGCCCGGTAAAAAAAAAAAAGTAAATCCAGCAAGAGCTGACTCTGAAGGAGACAGCTGTATGAATAGGGATGAAAACAATTAATCGACTTACGATCGATAAATGGCTTACTAAGCTGCATTCACACTGCAGCCTGAAGTGACCCATTTCCGATTTTTTTTTTTTTTTGCCTTAATGCGACCCTTTTCTTTTCATAACAGTCTGAACAACACAGGTCAGATTCTGTTCGAATGCGACCCAGTCCACTTGGGGTGTGTTCACACTGCAGCCTGAAGTGACTCAATTCCGATTTTTTGGCAATTCCGATTTTTTTGCCGGAGCCGTTCACACTGCCAGTAAATGCGACCTGTATGCGTTTCTGCAGTGTGAACGGGCCTGAAAGTGTCCCGCATGCGCACTAGGGGGCGCAATAGCGTCAGCGTTCTCAGTGTTCTGCCACCAGCCATAAAAAGAAGAAGTGCTCAGTGTTTGCAGAAGTAAACATGGAGGCTAACGGTGGAGCTTAGCTTACATATTTGAAGTTGTTATCCGACCAGAGCAGCATATTAACATCTTAATCCTCATATTGTCCGTCATGGTTGTTGTTTTTCTTCTCACTTGCGCTTATCAGGACGCAGAATAGTGAGATTTGTTGAGAAACAGTGACGTTCAGTTCGGATGAATTTGAATCGGATAGTTTCGGATATGGGTCACATTCGAAAAAGAATCCGACCTGTGCTGTTCACACTGTCATGAAAAGATCGGACACAGGTCATATTACGTCCAAAAAATCGGAAATGAGTCACTTCAGGCTGCAGTGTGAACGCACCCTTGGATATCCAATATGTATCCGATTCAAATGTGACCTAATGTCCAGGTCATCTGAACTGAACGTCACTGATACTCGACAAACGTCACTTTTCTGCTCCCTCATACGTGCAAGCGGGAAGACAAACAACAACCATGGCGGACTGTAATGATAATTAAGTTTTTAATATGCTGGCTCCTGTCGGACATCATCTTCAAAATCGTAAGCTAAGCTCCACGTTAGCATCCACGTTTACTTCCGCAAACACTGACCACTACTTCTTTATGGCGGTTGGAAAAACACTGAGCACGGTCTCTAGCGTTATTGAGCCCTCTACTGCGCATGCCGGTCACTTTCAAGTCGTTTGCAGTTCACACATACAAGACACATTTGGGAGTATGAACGACCAGGGCAAAAAAAAAAAAACTGATTTGACTAAAAATAGCAATTGGGTCACTTTAGGCTGCAGTGTTAATACAGCCTAATAACATCCGCTTCTTTTATCGTCATGTAGTGTTGCAGTTTGGCCGTCATCCAACAGAGGCCGCCACTCATCTTCATTAAGCGGAGCCAGAACTATGATAGTGGAAAATGTTACCTTCCTGTTCAAATAAAATCTTGGTTCTGGCGGATTTCTCCTCTTCACTCGGATTCTCTCCAGTTGGTTTTAGGGCGGGCCAATCAGCGAGCAGAAGGAGAAGTTGTGAACAATGACGTCGATTTTTTTATTTTTTGCGCTATTTTATAATTCTAGTCTGTCTGTAGTTTTAGCAATGGCAGCGGAGAAAGTGAGCAAAACCGTTCAGTCCGCTTGATTGGTTTCCAAATATTGAATATTAACAGCCGCCTGGTTCGGATTGACCCAATCTTTAGCAGACAAATTTTAAAAAAGTAAAAAATCTTCGAGAATAAGAACAGTACAGAAACAAAGATGGTGAAGTGAAACTTATAGTGGGAAAGAGAAATAATCCAGAGTCCAGAGTGGGTTGGGAACCGTTGGTTCATGCGGTTCTGTTTTGAAATATAAACACTGGACAAGCACCTAAAGTTTAATCTTTTTTTTTCTATTCAGCAACTTTAGAGGTTATTATATTTTATAAATATCTCTAAGTTTAATAATGTGAGAAAACCCACATTTTCAGCTTATTCTGTTATCATACAACTGACATAAAATAATGTTAAAATTTAATGATTATTATTGTTTTTAATTCAGTATATTATGAAAAATGTAACTCTATGTTATGGAAAAATGGTTTATCCTCTTGATACAAGAGAAAACTCAGCCGATTAACAATTAATCATTAGTTGATTGATAAAATCACTCTATTTTAGATTAACTCAATAATTGATTACTCACATTCCTGGCATGGACACACTTTTATCTTATGATCTAGGTTTTCTCCCCTCCCCCTTCTTTCCAGACCTCATTTGCTTTGCCTCAGCGTAACATTTCACTCTCTCTCCCCTCACATCTCTATCACTACCCCAGCCCCACCCCATGCAAATCCCCACGATCCATCTCAAAGCCCGGGCCGCTGCTGGGAAACAGACTCCAGGCATACTGGAGCGCTTCATCTTTCCCTCCACCTCAATGCAGACGAGAATTTGGGAGAAAAAAATGGAGAAAGAACAAGTGGAGGAGTTGTATTAAAAGTGAAAGTAGGGCTTGTACAGCTGGTAGTTTCCAGAGGCTTCAACATGAAAAGGCATTGTAGAAAAGTGCTGAGTATAAAATAAAAATCAGCTCCTCCTTGGCCCCACTGGAAACACAACCCTTGTGAACACGCCTCCATATGCAGGGAAGCAGCAGCGGAGATCATGAGGCAGACTTCCAGTCGCTGCAACGCAGAGGAAGACGAGTGTGTTTTAGCAATAATCTACATCCTCACATAACCTCTCCGACCGTGAAAGACACGATTATTTATCCTAGTTTAACTTTTCCCATTTTGTGAATTCAGATCCACAAACTACCAGAGATGGGTAGAGTACCCAAAAGATGTACTCAAGTAGGAGTAACTCTACTTCAACATACTTTTACTAAGTAAAAGTAGGAAGTATCTATTCAAGAAACTACTCAAGTAAGAGTTAAAAAGTATTTGGTAAAAATGCGACTCAAGTGCAATTTTTGGCAGTAAGTACCTAATCTAACACTTCTGTAGCTGGCAGCTGGTTTACAGGCGGTTTCCTCCCAGAGACCCGTCGTCACGGAGCCGTCTCTCACTCCTCGGCTCAGCAGGGTGGACACACCAGGGATCACTTCCTCAAATCCAGACCTCTTGTTTTGAAATAAACCGGCAGGACGCTTCGCACACCAAAACCTACAGAACCCAAACTGAAACAGAATCAGTTTGTCATTAAATAGCAGTAATGGGTTTTCAGATTGACTGAGCATCCCTTGGAATGGGGCTGCATACACAATACAACTAAAAACTGCAAAATGCAAAGATCAAACCAGACATTTCAGAAACAAAGACAAATCTCAACTCCCATCTCCAACTCTGCGAGACTAATGCTCAGCAGAATAAAGATCCTCTCCGTCTTCATCAGCTTTAATGCTATTCTCTTTGAACAGGAAACAGGGGTGCAGGGAGCTGTTTTTGGAGGCTCTGTATTGTCACATATAAGCAACTGCCACTGCAGCTTCTCTCTCTGTTTGCTATGTGGGTTTTTTTGCAGTAAACAAATTATATTTTGTCTATTTAAATCCCCCACAAGCCAGTGGGTTGCAGGTTTTCTATTTTATACTCTGGTTTATACTGTTGCATGAAATAGTAAAACGCTACAGGTCAAATTTTTCTGAGGTTATTCAAGGTTTATGAGCTGTCTGACAATTATCATCTGTTTAAGTATCGTCCATGCTACCAGGCATTTTGAGAAAGGGAGAGTAGGTAAAAATGAAAAAAATGTAATAATTATGTAGAAGACAAATTGTAGGTTTTAGTGAGTGATAAAATTCAGATTTTTTTTTTCTTTTTTGTAGGTTATTACATGTCAATAGATTTGTCTCCTGTTCTTGCGAAGTGCTCAGACTGTACTTGGTGTTACCTGTAACTTTTCAAGTTCAGAAGAGATTTTGGTATCAGCTATTTGTAAGTTAAATGAGGAAGCGAGTCAATTACAATAAACTGTGTTGTGAATCTATAACATCTCATCACACAGTTGTGACTCTGACTTTCATGTCTTTTTCATGGTTTAGAAGGACAAGAAGCTGCTTTGCTGCTGTAGTGAACACAATGACCAGACGAGTCCGACTGCTACAGATTTTACTGCAACCTAAATAATTCAACAGGTACAGCAAATGGATGGATAGGTAATTACCTGATCCCTTGGGGAAACCCAGTCAGTAGGGTTGTAAAGATAAAACAAAACAAAATGAAACAACTATGACTGCAGAAGTATCGAGTCTCATCCTGATGCAGCAGAACATTGTGAACTTCACACTCCTGATTCTAATAGACGCGCACTATTCAGAACTGGGGTGCAACAAAAGTAACTTGTGCTTCATATAGGGGATAAGTCTTGATGTTCCTCAAAATTTCCTTAATTTCCTCCTGTTGGGAGCCATACCTGCGTGTTTTTTAACATACCACATGGGTCAAGAGATGAAACTGTGTGTCAGCAGCTTAAAGATAAAACATGACCAGTAGGTTTTGTGGTAAACACACATATCAGTTTGGAGGAAAACAAATGTCTTTTAAGCAGAAATGTTCTGTTTAGAATAAAAATCAAGGGATTAAAGTGTCTAAATTTTTCCCCTTACTGACGTTCTTTTATCCAGCAAGCATCAAAATATACAAAAGAATATGTTTTCTAAGGAGGAAAGAGACAGAACTAATAAGTTCTTTCATATTTAAACAAACTCACAGAGAACAGATGGAAGTCATTCCTATTGTTTTCATTTTTTATATAATTGTTCAAACAAAACCAGACCCCTTCATGCATGGTTTAACCAGTCAGGCAGGTAAATGTTCACATTTCCTTCCTGTTGATGATTTCTGCTGATTTTCCAGTGGAGTAACAAAATGAAGCAGATTTAGCTAAAAACACACACACACGTGTTCCTCCATTTAGATTCAGTGTTGGGAAATAACCAATGAACCTATCAGAAACTTACAAGGCAATGACGTCATCATTTGGGCCTTCCTGAATAATTTAAAGGCGCAGTAACCTCAGTGCGTGTAAACTCCTGATTTAGGGACAGAAATAAAAAGATATTTAAAAAAAAAAAAAGTTTTAGTAAACTTGACTGTTCTAAAACAGCAACAAAACAAAAAAACCTTATTTAATATCAGATATTGAGAATTATTGTTTTTTTTATTTCGTGTATGTGAATTTCTGCTGCTCCAGTTGTTTGTAATATTACCATTAAAGTTTTTCTGAGGGACGTCAGTTCGTTTAGTTAACCAGACAGATTTCTGCCAAGCTAAAAACGTCACTGCTGCTTTGCA